GTTACTCATCCTGAAAATTTGGACGAACTACGCCAACGAATTGTAAATGAGTGTCGTCAAATAACTCCAATTATGCTGGACCATGTTAGAGACGGTTTTCAGTCAAGATTGTATTATTGTATGGAAGTCAATGGAGAACAATTTGAACATTTGATATAAAAATGCAGTTTTGATTTTTACTTTCCTATCTGTATACAGATATAAGGAAAGTATAGGAATCATGATTTTTTTCGACCTCGAGTTTTCGACGGATTTTTACGTTTTGAGGTCCCCTAAATCCGTTTTGACTATTTTCGCGATGATGTGTGTGTGTGTGTGTGTGTGTGTGTATGTGTATGTGTATGTGTATGTGTATGTGTATGTGTATGTGTATGTGTATGTGTATGTGTATGTGTATGTGTATGTGTATGTGTAATGTGTATGTGTATGTGTATGTGTATGTGTATGTGTATGTGTATGTGTATGTGTATGTGTATGTGTATGTGTATGTGTATGTGTATGTGTATGTGTATGTGTATGTGTATGTGTATGTGTATGTGTATGTGTATGTGTATGTGTATGTGTATGTGTATGTGTATGTGTATGTGTATGTGTATGTGTATGTGTATGTGTATGTGTATGTGTATGTGTATGTGTATGTGTATGTGTATGTGTATGTGTATGTGTATGTGTATGTGTATGTGTATGTGTATGTGTATGTGTATGTGTATGTGTATGTGTATGTGTATGTGTATGTGTATGTGTATGTGTATGTGTATGTGTATGTGTATGTGTATGTGTATGTGTATGTGTATGTGTATGTGTATGTGTATGTGTATGTGTATGTGTATGTGTATGTGTATGTGTATGTGTATGTGTATGTGTATGTGTATGTGTATGTGTATGTGTATGTGTATGTGTATGTGTATGTGTATGTGTATGTGTATGTGTATGTGTATGTGTATGTGTATGTGTATGTGTATGTGTATGTGTATGTGTATGTGTATGTGTATGTGTATGTGTATGTGTATGTGTATGTGTATGTGTATGTGTATGTGTATGTGTATGTGTATGTCTATGTGTATGTCTATGTGTATGTCTATGTGTATGTCTATGTGTATGTCTATGTGTATGTCTATGTGTATGTCTATGTGTATGTGTATGTGTATGTGTATGTGTATGTCTATGTCTATGTCTATGTGTATGTGTATGTGTATGTGTATGTGTATGTGTATGTGTATGTGTATGTGTATGTGTATGTGTATGTGTATGTGTATGTGTATGTGTATGTGTATGTGTATGTGTATGTGTATGTGTATGTGTATGTGTATGTGTATGTGTATGTGTATGTGTATGTGTATGTGTATGTGTATGTGTATGTGTATGTGTATGTGTATGTGTATGTGTATGTGTATGTGTATGTGTATGTGTATGTGTATGTGTATGTGTATGTCTATGTGTATGTCTATGTGTATGTCTATGTGTATGTCTATGTGTATGTCTATGTGTATGTGTATGTGTATGTGTATGTGTATGTGTATGTGTATGTCTATGTCTATGTGTATGTGTATGTGTATGTGTATGTGTATGTGTATGTGTATGTGTATGTGTATGTGTATGTGTATGTGTATGTGTATGTGTATGTGTATGTGTATGTGTATGTGTATGTGTATGTGTATGTGTATGTGTATGTGTATGTGTATGTGTATGTGTATGTGTATGTGTATGTGTATGTGTATGTGTATGTGTATGTCTATGTCTATGTCTATGTCTATGTCTATGTCTATGTCTATGTCTATGTCTATGTCTATGTCTATGTCTATGTCTATGTCTATGTCTATGTCTATGTCTATGTCTATGTCTATGTCTATGTGTATGTGTATGTGTATGTGTATGTGTATGTGTATGTGTATGTGTATGTGTATGTGTATGTGTATGTGTATGTGTATGTCTATGTGTATGTCTATGTGTATGTCTATGTGTATGTCTATGTGTATGTCTATGTGTATGTCTATGTGTATGTGTATGTGTATGTGTATGTGTATGTGTATGTGTATGTGTATGTGTATGTGTATGTGTATGTGTATGTGTATGTGTATGTCTATGTCTATGTCTATGTCTATGTCTATGTCTATGTCTATGTCTATGTGTATGTGTATGTGTATGTGTATGTGTATGTGTATGTGTATGTGTATGTGTATGTGTATGTGTATGTGTATGTGTATGTGTATGTGTATGTGTATGTGTATGTGTATGTGTATGTGTATGTGTATGTGTATGTGTATGTGTATGTGTATGTGTATGTGTATGTGTATGTGTATGTGTATGTGTATGTGTATGTGTATGTGTATGTGTATGTGTATGTGTATGTGTATGTGTATGTGTATGTGTATGTGTATGTGTATGTGTATGTGTATGTGTATGTGTATGTGTATGTGTATGTGTATGTGTATGTGTATGTGTATGTGTATGTGTATGTGTATGTGTATGTGTATGTGTATGTGTATGTGTATGTGTATGTGTATGTGTATGTGTATGTGTATGTGTATGTGTATGTGTATGTGTATGTGTATGTGTATGTGTATGTGTATGTGTATGTGTATGTGTATGTGTATGCGTATGGGTATGTGTATGTGTATGTGTATGTGTATGTGTATGTGTATGTGTATGTGTATGTGTATGTGTATGTGTATGTGTATGTGTATGTGTATGTGTATGTGTATGTGTATGTGTATGTGTATGTGTATGTGTATGTGTATGTGTATGTGTATGTGTATGTGTATGTGTATGTGTATGTGTATGTGTATGTGTATGTGTATGTGTATGTGTATGTGTATGTGTATGTGTATGTGTATGTGTATGTGTATGTGTATGTGTATGTGTATGTGTGTGTGTGTGTGTGTGTGTGTCTGTATAACGCATAACGCATAACTCATGAACCGATACCCGGAAAAACACCAAATTTCAAACTTAAGCTTTGTTCCAGCGTCTAATGGGCTGATTAGATTTTGGGCAGAGTCGGAACATCTGGGGGGTACTTTATGGGTGGTCATTTTTATATTTTATGGAATATATCTGTTATTTACGTTTGGGGAATTCTTCAAATAAAAGTTACTTCTTATTTTATTATCTATAATTTTTGTTATATACAAAATTTTCCTAAAATGGTCCGTATTCGCGAAATTTGACAAAATGTAAAAAAATATTTTTTTTTATAAAAATTGTTCAAACAAAAGTTGTTTTTAATATAATTCTCTATAATTTTTATCCTATAGATAATTTTTCTAAAATGGACCGTATTCCAGATATTTGAGAAAATGTGTAAATTTCGAAATATGAAGAAAACTCAAAAACGGATAAAGAAAAAACATTAAATTTTAAACTTAAGTTTTATTTCGGCCTGACGTGAAATGATTAGATTTTGGACAAAGTCGGAACATCTGGGGGGTACTTTATGGGAAGCCGTTTTTATATTTTATGGAATATATCTGTTATTTATGTTTGGAGAAAAAAATTGTTTAAATAAAAGTTACTTCTAATATTATTATCTATAATTTTTGCTTTATGTAAAAATTTCCTGAAATGGTCCGTATTCGAAAAATTTGACAAAATGTGCAAAATTCTGATTTTTATGAAAATTGTTGAAATAAAAGTTGTTTGCGATATCGATCTCTATAATATTTGTTCATACATGATTTTTTTTAAATGGACCGTAATGGAAAAATTGTAGGAAAAGTGCTTAATTTAAATTTTTCAGTATTTTCATTTTCAATGAATATCTATAGAAAAATGTTTCGCGGTAGATGTATGTGGACAATGTATATATTTAGTTTATCCTCTAAACATTTATGGAGGTGCTGCAATAGGTTGTACAAAATAACCGGAAAAAGCCTGTAATAACTAGATAGGAAAGTCATGTGTTGGACACATCAGATTTTTTTGATTGTAAGCATGATAAAACAATTGATTTTTTTAAGAATTTCATTTTTTTCATACACCGTTGTAAAGAGGCTTCCAAGACCTTACAAATTAAGTATCACTCAACCCCTCTTCCCTATTCAATTTTGAGGGGTTGAAGCGCCTCCTCATAGGGGATTGCTCGTTCAAGCCTCAAATACACGTCAAAAGATGCCCCCCAAGGAAAATCATCCAACGTGTTTCGGGAAATTTTTCCAATTACTATTAGATAAGAAATATACGGGGTTGATCGTCTGAGATGGAACACCCTGTATATTAAAAATGAATGAATTAAAATTGATATAACTTAAAAAAAATTTAAAAAAATAACAAAGCAATTTAAAATTTTTCTGAGTAAATAAGAAAAAGAAATTAAAATTTCATTGAGGTTTCAGCTCAATATGATTTTTTTAGGTCATATAACATATAACATCCAATTACCCTGTTTATTTTAATACTAGCAAAAAAATTATAAATATTTTTATGTAAAACTATATGCTTTACAATTTTTATTAGAATTTTTTTTTATACCACCTACCGTTTTTAAATAACCTTAAAAAACACTTTCATTTATTTTTTCGGCATTTGACGGGGCACATATCGCTTTCAAACACTCGAAAGTGACTTCAAAATTTTGATTTAAAGGTCTATTTGATTGGACTCTATCTCGATAAATTCATTTACTTATCAAAATAAGTATTATCAGAAAAAAAAATTAGAAATTGTTTCTTTTTTAAATAACCCATGTTTGTTCAAAAATTTTTTTTTCTTCAAGATATTAATAAGAGTATAGCATGAAAAAATTTCTATCGAATAACGAAAACTGTTATTCACTTTTAATAATTGAGGTTTGAAATTTTCCAGCAAAGCGGATCGGGTCAGCTAGTGTTGCATATTTTTTGTACTCTTAACTGTATGCTATTTACGAAACATATTTTCTTTTTTCAAGCTGGCAACATTATGCGCAGACGTTTTTACCACCTATTTGTTCCTCGTAGTTTCACTATCCTATTTTGATAGTTCTTAATGTTAAATAAAACCACCAACAACTGGCAAATAATTTACTACACATTTACAAAAATACCCAAAGGCACATCATAAAAAATCATTTAAGTTAATTAAAAACAAAAATACCCACACTACAAGAGATCAGTGCAAAAAGTGTCCAAATTCAGTGTTCACAAAAACTGAGTGGATTTTTACTTAAAACTAAACATGTGACTTAGATTTGTTTTGAATCGGTAAGAACAATTTAAATTCAGCAGGCAGTTCGTCTTCGGAGTATAATCTGTCTGAAAAGTAAACCCGTCTTATTCGACAGTTCGCGTGGACTTGAACTCGTAGAGTCTCAACGTAATTGGTGCCGTAGGCTCTTCTCGTGAAGTCGGCAACGTTAAACTGAATTTGGTTCCAACCTTCATCTAACCGCATAGGCATTGTACAAATAAATGGTTTGACTCTAGTTGTAGATTGATAGTTACTCGCACGGAATCTTCTTCGTACATTTTTGTCATCCAAAATCTGAAATTAAGTAAAACAATGCAATTTTTGGTTTGTAGACATTAACCAAAAACAATTATATTATGTTATTTTATTAAAATCAATATCCGTTTAAATATATGAACAATTAATATTATTTTTTACACCCACATGGATATCACCTATTCTACGCACAAACTACCAAACGAAAAATTATACCATTACATTCAACTGAACGAATATATTTCATATCCATTCTACCTACAGTCTGTTCGCTATACTTAAGTGGGTTTCGGATTAAAAATTTTATGAGTATTTCCAGGTAAGTACCCGAAAGTTTGACCTGTTCTTTAGGGAAATATCAACTGGTTAAATAAAATGAAAAATAATATACAACTTTTCAACCTGAGGGTGTAGAATGACCGTTGAATTCAAATGGAGAGAGTCCCACATGCACACTAGTATACGAACGGGTGTATACAGTTACAGGCGCGGAACTGTAAACACATACACACGTATTAACCTACACACATGTCCACACAAATGAATACGCAAATGTAAACACAAGAAACCACGCGAAACTGCAGATTTCAACCGTATCTCCCCCTCTCCCTGTCGGTAAAATACTCGAGAAAATGCGCGCAATGATGTTATCAGTATTCTGCGACATTCCGAGGGGAAATAGATTTTTATTTTTAATCATGTCGATCCCGTTAAATAGAAAATGTGATCACAAAGAAAATCGACTTAAAGTTTGTGTGCCTTGTGGTCGAAAATTGGCTTTGAGGACAAAAAAAATAGTCTTTTAAAATTAGTGATAAGTTTGAAAAATTGATTCAAAAGTGGATTAATCACAAATTCGACTTGTTGGATTCAAAATACCCGGCAAGCATTTGCACTACCTGTCGACACACTCTCACTGAATTTGAACCTATCAGAAAAGGCCGCTGCCTAAAATGCCGACCTACAAGACTCTTCATTCGCCGAAAAATACCAGAATGCGAAGAAAATTTACAGGAAGTTCGATGTGTAATTGTTACATCTGTGTAACGGGCCGAGCAACAATCCATAAAAAACCAAAAAGAGGACGGGGCATTTGGCGGAATTTCGATGTAGACATTGGTGAACCTACAGGTATGTACGAGGCCGTGCAAATCGACACATCAAAGAAAAATATTGTTGACGGGGAAAAATCGACGAAGTCAGGCACCAATAACATGGTGGTTTGCAAATTTTGTTTCCAAGAAGTATTGAGAGGAAAACCCCATTCTTGTGTTGTGCGCGAAGATAGACCTGATAACACCGTAACCAAAAACTTGCTCTCAACCATTCAGCATCTTCCAGAAAAACAACAAGACCAAATCGTTAGCTCTATGCTCCGAAAAAAAAAATCGACGCGCTTCCCAGTCCCTCCACGAATACTCCAGAAATCGAAGTGAAGTTGAAAACAGGTGGGCGTCCTTGTCGCGTACTTGTGAACCCTCCCGAAAAAAATAACCCAGTTTTTTCTTCCGAACGTTTGAATAATTTACGAGTTAACACTGGAGCTTCTTTAAGACAAATGTCTAAAATAACTAATTTCATTCGTTCTTTTGCTGGGAGAAAATCCGTTTCGTCTCATCATTCGAAACACATGACAGAAAATTCAAAAACGCTCTTGGATATTTACCACCAAGATTAAGTGGAATTTGACGTTGAAAATAACGGAGCAAAAGAAAAACGCACTGTCATCTGGGCGAATGCTGAGGAGTTGATTGAGTCTGTTATTGAGAAGCGCAAGCTAGAAGGATTTTATTTAATAAAGATTATGGCTGATGGAGGACAGGGGTTTTTCAAGGTTTCCATGACAATTTTGCCAGCAAACGACGATCCAGCGTACGACAATAATCTTGCAGATCACATACCAGGAAAAAGATCAAGGTATGCTGAAGGCGGAATGGTCGGTAAAAAAGCGAATTGGACCAGCGTCCAAAAACTTATCATGTTAGCCATAGTTCCCAAAATCAAAGAAACGTACGAAAACCTGAAGGTGTTATTTGATTTAACTCAGCTGAATAATGTTCTATTCAAATTCGTAGCAGACTTTAAGTTGCTTTTGATTGTCAATGGACAGCAAACGGCCACCTCTACGTACCCTTGCCCGTACTGTTTTGTGACTTTGGATGAATTGAGATATCGCGATTCCGAAGAAAGGAATGTTATGCCTTCTGCTGATATTTTGAAAATATATGGACATCTGAAAGACGACCATAGTCGATTTTGTGCTGACGGAAAAAAATAAAAAACTTGCAAGATATTCCAACAGTACAGTGAATAATCCTTTGTTCAGAGAAAAAGGCGACTTGACTGTGTTGGAAAAATGCCCACCTCCCGAGCTACACCTCCTACAAAGGTTTGTAAACCATTTGTTTTGGTCTGGTTTGGTACCAATTTTAGGCAAAGGCCCTTCTTTGGCCAAAAAAATTGAACATCATTTCCAAAGGCTATCATGGGGAGGTTTTCGAAGAAAATGCTTGTAGGATCTTGCTGAAAGAGGCAGAGAGGTTGAACGATACCGAAATATGTCAGGAATGTGGTTATTTCCGGATTTTCCCCTTCAAAAAAATGGATCAGTTGGTTGAAAACTGTTTCTGCGTGGAAAGAGGACCTTGTAATGTTGAGAAATTAGTTGGAGACTTGCACAAAGCAGTGGAAAGTACAGGGGTTTCCATCACCCTGAAACTTCACGTCATCTTAACTCATCTGAAAGGGTCACTAGAGTTTCTGAACGCCAATACTGGTTTGGGCCTCTGGTCAGAACAAGCTGGTGAAAGTGTTCACCATGAATTTTTAAAATACTGGGACAGATACAAGATCAATGCGATTGATGCTCCATCTTACGGTGAGAAATTGAGAAGAGCAGTTGCAGAATTTTCGTCCTTGCACATTTAATTATTTCCAATCGCTCACTTTATTATAAATAATTCATTATAAATAATTTAAGAAATCAAACTATTGTTTTAAGGATTTTTTGTGTTTTTGTACTTTAGGCAGTACTAAACAGTCTCAAAGTTTAAATTCACTGGAAATTCTATGCTATCAGGCTGAAATTTCATTTTTAGCCCTACCTATTGAAAATAAGCAGTCCTGATTTTTCTGTAAGCGAATATCATTTCTTTATTGGGTGTAGAACATCCCCCTATACTCAGATTTTTGCGCCATTTTTGGCAAACTTTTTCGCCCTTCAACGACACCGTGTCAAATAGCTCATAAAAATTTGTTCCATGTAGAGAATTTTAAATGCAAAAAAAAATTGAACTTGCCAACAAAAATGAAAATCAGCCATTATCATCCAAAATATCATATTCGTCATCATCATCACTGTCATTCACCATTAATTGTTATTATGATTGGACTTATTTCGTTTATTTTATTTTCACGAGTTCACCAATCTTCTATTAGTTTCTCGCACTTGGTTATACACTTCCGCCACACTTCTTGAGTTGCAATTGAAAGTGCTTTTCGCCAAGTTTCCCGAACTGCGTCGTCACTATAACCATTAGGCCCAATATGGTTGTCATAATATTGTTTTGCTATTCCCCATATATATTCGATGGGATTAAACTGGCAATGATGCGGTGGCAGACGTAAAACTTGATGACCGTAACTTTCAATAATCTGATCCACAACAAAGGTTTTTGATTTTGCGTGTATATTTGCCAAGCGTAATAATTCTAATTTTAATATATATTGAGGAAATGGTATATGTTCCTTTGTCAACCATTCTTTAATTTTATCAACAGTCCAAGAATTCGTTGGACTTTTGTTTAATACTTCAGAATGGTAAGGTGCATTGTCTAAAATAATTACGCTGGGCTCACTTAAACCTGGGAGAAGTTTTTCATGCAACCATTTTACAAACATTTCTGTGTTCATATTATCGTGATAGTAACTGGATTTTGATTTAGATAAAAATATTAAATCAGCACCTTCTATAAAACCCGATTTCCCTCTAGTATGTAAAATTATGTATCGCTTCCCTTCTCTATCGATATGTTTAATGGACTTTACGTTATCATCTTGCCATATTCTCTTGGTTGCACCTCTAGAAAATATCCATGTTTCGTCTAAATACATAAAATTTGCCCCTTCTTCTTTAAATTTAGAATATTTTCTTAGAAAGTTAATTCTCTTGTGCACGACAGAACTTCTTTCACAAAGGGCCTTTCTGTTATCTTCCTTTTGAAATTTGAAACCCAAGTTATGTATCACTTACCATAGACTTGTTCTGCCAATGTCGTCAAATTTTCTATCTATTAATTCCGAGAGAATTGTATTTAAGGTCACATGTTCCTTGTTGGCCCTCATTCGATAAATGGTATCACGAATTTCAAATTACTTTCCATCTGGAATATCTTTCGTTTTCAATGATGGGCGAGTTTTGCGGTGATCTTCTTTCGGCAGTTCACTATTGTGATTTTGTAATACTCCTCTTAATTTGGTTTCACTAATTCCTAGAGCATCGCATACGCGTTGTCGTACAGACATTACCGATTTTAAAGGATCGCCATTTTCTTTTTCATCCGTAAAATATTTATGTACACTACAAATTAGACTATCTACATCTAACACACGTCTAGGCATTTTTAAAATTTCCACTAAATTTGCAATATACATACAATGTCAACACTTGCAGAGAATCAATTCAACTGCAATATTTGTAACAAATTTAGTACCTACCCTAATGTTTTTACCATAAAAAAGAAAATTGTAATAATGCAATCGTGTGCCATATCTCTAGTGAAGAAAATGAAGCTAGCTTGTATCCAAAGAATAAAATACACTGCAAGAACTGTAAAACTTCTAACGAAAAATATACAACTGAGTACGACTACAACCATTCTGCACTGGATTTGACTTGTCCCTCTTTGAAATAATGGTCTTTACAAAAACATACCACATATTCCTTAGACCAAAATAAGTCGATTTAAGTAAAATTACCTTAGTACAAAGTTGCTTCGTTCGGGAAGTTACAATTTTTAAATCGTTTTTCCCATATAAATTTAAAACGGCATATGCGATTTTGCTGAAATTTGGTATATTGGTAGAGTTTTATGTGGCAAAAAAATGGTATTAAAATTTTGTCAGATAATAATCCATAGGCGTAGAAATTGATTTTTTAAATAATTGCACCTTTAAAAATTCTACGCCAATGGAAGAAAAGGAGTTTGAGTATGAAATTTGGATTGCGCAACTCGTTTACTTTAAAAAAGGTACTCTTGATAAGACTCGATTACTCTCATGGTTTTCGCTAAATTTCTGTTTTAATAATTTAGAGTGTATAGGTTTCACAAAAATATTTATTTAAAACATAATCAAAATAGAGATTTTACAAAAATTGTTCAAAATGTGAACCATTTTCACGCATACAAAGATATACGTCGAAGAAAATTAAAATGTATTCCTTCCATAACTTCTTCATCACCTCTAAGATTGTTTATTGCATCTTGAATACGTTGCCACAGTTGTTCCTCATTTTCTACAGGTTCCCTGTAAACTGTGGATTTCAGATATCCCCATAAAAAGTAATCCATCGGTGTTAGGTCTGGAGAACGTGATGGCCAGTTTACAGGTACGTCATTACCTCTGCCTATCCATTTGTGTGGATATTGTTTATTCAAGTGCTTTCTAACGTTTAAAAAAAATGTGGTGGAACTCCATCTTGCATAAACCACATATCTCTCCGAAGTTGGAGACTTAAATCTTCTAACAATTCTGGCAACGTATTTTGTAGAAAATCCAAATAATTTTCTCCAGTTAATCTTCGTGGAAATATGACAGGACCAACAATGAAATTACCAATTATTCCAGCCCACACATTACTTTTGAATTCGCGCTGAAAATGGTTTACCTTTATTACATGCGGATTTTCAACGGCATAAACATGTTCATTACGGGTATTAGTTATACCTCTTCTTGTAGAACCCGCTTCATCGGTAAAGAGAACCTTCTTGACAAAGTTTGGATCTCTTTCTCTTTGCATATTAACAAATCGACAAAAACCCAAACGAATTTGAGGATCATGGACTAATAATTCTTATACTGGCTTCTTATGGTATGGATATAGCAATTGTTCTCTAAGCACTTTATGAACGACATCTTTACTTACTCCTAGTTCCCTTTTAATTCGTCTGGTGCTTAATTCTGGATCTTCTTCAACACGTTCTAAAATGTCTTCTAACTTCAGGAATCCTTACAAAACGTTCTCTTCCATTATCAACAGTGTTGGGAGCAAAGGAACCGGTCTCCCGAAGACGTCTCTCAACAGCAGCAAAAGTTGAGTGGCTAGGTACACGACGATTTGGAAACCTTTCAGAGTACACCCTGACACTCTCTCGAGCATTTCCTTCACAAAATCCTAATGTCAGTAACATTTCAGTATATTCTGCATTGGTATATTGTACAGCCATATTAATAAACCACGCATTTGTTTTTTAATTATTGAGTCAGATAGAACACTCGTTAACAAGAGATTAGGTGTTAAAACTTCACAATATTTTTATTTAGATGAAACTATGTAAACCAACAATAAATATTTTTGTATACGTATTGCAGGCAAATAATTAATATTCCTCAAAAAATCGTACATGGCAATAATCGAGTATTTTTGTTAAAAGTCTCGATTAGAGGTGTTGAAGAAGATATGAAAAAAATACATTTTTATGTTTTTTCATCGTATAAAATTTTGTCCGATAATAATACATAGGCGTAGAACTTGATTTTTAAAATCATTGCACCTTTTAAAATTGCAATGGCAAAAAAGGGGTTTGAGTATGAAATTTGGATTGGGTACTCATTTACTACAAAAAAATACCCTTGATAACACTCGATTTACTCTCATGGTTTTGACAAAGTTTGTATTTTAATAATTATTGTTTATGTTCTAAAATTACTAAAATGCAAATTTCGTCAAAACCATGAGAGTAATCGAGTCTTATCAAGAGTGCCTGTTTTAAAGTAAATGAGTTGCGCAATCTAAATTTCATACTCTAACGACTTTTCTTCCATTGGCGCAGAATTTTTAAAGGTGTAAATATTTAAAAAATCAAGTTCTACGCCTATGTATTATTATCGGACAAAATTTTAATACCATTTTTATGCCACATAAAACTCTACCAATATACCAAATTTCAGCAAAATCGCATATGCCGTTTTAAATTTATATGGGAAAAACAATTTAAAAATTGTAACTTCAAGGCCCTCTGGAGCCCAAACGAAGCAACTTTGTACTAAAGTAATTTTACTTAAATCGACTTATTTTGGTCTAAGGAATATGTGGTATGTTTTTGTAAAGACCTTTTACATATATTTAATTTAATTTTTACCTATGAATATTTGATGGCCATAAATGGGGAAACCTGATGGCCATAAGTGGAAAAGTGTGGTCATAAGTGTTTTTGTAAAGACCTTTTACAGACACCTTGTATACAATTTCCAAAGTTTATCAGAATATTCCAAGAATAACAAAGGGACTTGCATGCATTTTTTTTAAATAGTTTTTTTTTCTGTTTCATGCATAAATTGTTCAAGTTTTATTTTTACTTTCCTATCTGTATACAGATATAAGGAAAGTATATAGGAATCATGATTTTTTTCGACCTCGAGTTTTCGACGGATTTTTACGTTTTGAGGTCCCCTGAATCCGTTTTGACTATTTTCGCGTGTGTGTGTGTGTGTCGCATAACTCATGAACCGATACACAGAAAAACACCAAATTTTAAACTTAAGCTTTTTTCCAGCGTCCAATGTGCTGATTAGATTTTGGTCAGTGTCGAAACATCTGGGGGGGTACTTTATAGATGGTCATTTTTATATTTTATGGAATATATCTGTTATTTACGTTTGGGGAAGAAAATTCTTCAAATAAAAGTTACTTCTTATATTATTATCTAACATTTTTGTTCCATACAAAATTTTCCTAAAATGGTCCGTATTCGAGAAATTTGACAAAATGTAAAAAAATATTTTTTTATAAAAATTGTTCAAACAAAAGTTGTTTGTAATATAATTAATTCTCTATAATTTTTATCCTATACATAATTTCTCTAAAATGGACCGTATTCGAGATATTTGAGAAAATGTGTAAATTTCGAAATTTGAAGAAAAACATTAAATTTTAAACTTAAGTTTTATTTCAGCCTGACGTGAAATGATTTGATTTTGGACAAAGTCGGAACATCTGGGGGGGTACTTTATGGGGGGCCGTTTTTATATTTTATGGAATATATCTGTTATTTGTTTGGAGAAAAAAATTGTTCAAATAAAAGTTATTTCTAATATTATTATCTATAACTTTTTGCTTTGTCAAAATTTCCTGAAATGGTCCGTATTCGAGAAATTTGACAAAATGTGCAAAATTCCGATTTTTATGAAAATTGTTGAAATAAAAGTTGTTTGCGATATCGATCTCTATAATTTTTGTTTACACATGATTTTTCTAAAATGGACCGTAATGGAAAAATTGTAGGAAAAGTGCTAAGTTTAAATTTTTCAGTATTTTCATTTTCAATGAATATCTATAGAAAAATGTTTCGAGGTAGATGTATGTGGAAAATGTATATATTTATTTTATCCTCTAAACATTTATGGAGGTGCTGCAATAGGTTGTACAAAATAACCGGAAAAAGCCTGTAATAACTAGATGTGTTGGACACATCAGATTTTTTATTTAAAAGTTTTTTTATTTCCTTTATAATTCATTAAATATAATTAAAATAAAATTTAAATTTTTGTCAGCACATACAGGTGTTCTCACCTAGGTGCTTATTAATATATAATTGGTTTCCATTATTGCACTTTATTGTAACTTATTTATTATTGTAACTCATTGTAACTTATTAAAAAAAATTCAAAAACAGTTAATTTTAAAACCGAAGTCAAAAAGCTAATTCTAAAAAATCCTGATATTTTCAAAATCTTTTAATGTCTCCTTAATAAATACCTCCATTTATTTATAACATAATTAGTACTCAGAATTTTCTAGCTTTGCCTTACCTAGGTACCAAAAATATATCATGTTTTATTTGTGTCGTTTACATTGTATTATCTTTTTTCCTTTTATATGGCCACTTTGGAAGAGGACTGACAAAACAGACACTAGGTCTAGATCATGCCTCCTCTGAAGAAGCTATTTATCTCTTTAATTAATTGTTAACTGTATTAAGGAAATTTGTATTTATAAATCTCCTAGTTACAAAATTAATAATTTTTGTTTTAAACGTAGAAACCACTTTCGATCATTCACAATAGGGCTATTCATGTGCAAGTTTAAGGCTTGGTTGAAGATAATAAAGTATAAGGGTGAAGAAAGAAACTCTTCTGCATATATATCTCATATGATATGTATAGTTTTTAATTGTGATCAGTTAATAACTTTTTCATCAGCAATATATAGTGGGGAAATAGAATAGGTACCTACATGAGGAAGACTTATAAGTATAATACTGAAATATATGATTTGGCACAATTTTTTTAAAGTTTGTTTCTTGCAGAATCTTTTATAATGTATAAACACTAATATTTAACACAGTTGTCAGTGAACACATGTTTCAAATTGGCTTACTGAGTTTGTAATGTAAATGTATAATTATCCATGCGTTTTCTTTGAACAATCTCCATATCAGAGTGATTTGTTAGGTATTTTTATCATTTAAAACTTAAGCCATCCACCCTATTATTATTATTATTATTATTATATAAAAGAAGATGTATCTCCTATAAGTATAGGTCCTTGCATTCTTAAAACTTTCTGATTTATGCTTTTCATTCGGTTGCTAGCTAGTTTTCAATGTTGTCCTACATATAAATATCTTCTATTTGAAAAGGTAAGTACCTACCTACTATTATTTCATAACTATAAAACTAACAATTTTGACAGTCCTGTGCTTAAACACCAGCCTAACAGATAATAGATTCATTACTATTCAGAACTTTCAAATTGATTTTTCAATAAATCGAACAAGGGTGTTGTCTTTAATTACAAAACTTTGGCGATTATTTGATCAATAACTAAATTATTGTTTGATCAATATGACTTGAACTTACCTGCACTTCAAAAGTGAAATATTTCTTTAAATTCTTCACAATCATCACTAAATAAGGCAATTTTATTCCTAGCGTCTTCTTCGGATCGGCTGGACATGTTATGTATGTGGTACTCACGTTACATCCTATGAGTTCCAGTACTAAAGATTGAATGTCTTCGTCAGTGATTCGTTTTATATGTCCATTTTTGTACTTTTTATCCCATATTTGTAAAGGCTTACTACCGATGCTATACAAAATAGAGAGAAAACCACTCTGGAATGTATTCTTAAACATTTTTACAGAAGATTTTTTTCATACTGCCTAACAAGTCAACAAACAAAACTTGGAAGGTTATGTTTGATCCGGTTGTCAACACGACACAACTATTGACATAATTCTGACTTGACATCTGACATTTGCAAACATGCGTTTTGCGTTTCAACCAATTTATATTCTTGTTCATGTAACCAATAATATGTCAAGTTTGTTTAAGTTGTCCAATCACAAGTAAGTCGAGCTAATCGAAGTTGCTTGAAAATACAACTACAAACGCAGCACAGACACGCTATATAGATATGTCTAATCAACCTTCCACTCGTAATTATTACAAATAATATACCTCTTCATTTTTTTAAATGTAATGCAATTATGAGTATATTAGGGTTACCAGACGTCAGGAAAAGTCCGGAATTTTTTAAGTTTCGTCCGGAATGCGACGTAAATTTTAAACTGTCCGGAATTTTCAGGAAAATCATCAAACGTATTAAAGTATACTTAAAATCCCGCATAAACAGTTCTGTTGCCAGTTGAATTCATAATTTATTTTTTATGTAAATATTTAGGGTGAGATTGCAGAACGTCTGCAACTTTGCAAATATGGCGGCAACTTTGAAAATCTGCAAATATGACTGACTTACACATTCAAGTAACAAGTTTTCGTATTCCAAATTTGGGTTTAGTGTTGTTGGAGGTAATAAACCACAATAAATATTGCGAATTTGCAGATATTTTTTGGAATACTTGCATTTGTAAGTCCGCCATATTTGCAAATCTGCAGAGTTGCAGATCTGCAAAATTGCAGACGTTCTGTAATCTCACCCTTAATGGACGGTTGTTGTAAGAGCGGCTCCAGGAGGGGCTACGGGGTCCATGCCCCCCTCCCGCCCGAGATGAAAATTCTTACGATTTATTCAAAAAAATATACTAAGAAAGGAATAGCTAAAGGCAATGCCTCCCCCCCCCCCCCCCCCCGAAAATTCGTTTGGACGGCCCTTGGGTTGTTGTCTTGAGTAGTTGTGTTTGTGAAAGCTCTCTGTATTATTATAGTTTTATGTTTAATTTCACGAATTTTTAATTGAGGAACTATTTTTGTTTTTAGTTTTTGACGGTAGGTATGTACCTAATTTTTTAAACAAAATATTTATTTAGAGTAGGTAATTATTACATAAATAAGTTGGAGTTTTATTTTTTGCGGATTTTTAAAGAAATGTCCGGACTTTTTATTAGGAATGTCAGGAAATTGTATTTTTGAATACCTATGGTCTAGGTATAAGCATTTCTCTAGTACATAGAATGCAGTGTTGCCGCGCTAAGTTTCTGAAAAGTACTGAGCAGAAGTAATAAAATGTACTAAATTGCACTAAAATTTACGATAAAGTGTTATATTCCCGTTTCTCACAGAATATACTTATTTTTACACTAATAAAATTAGGATTGATTCCACCGTTGTGTTAAACGAAGTTTAAATTACTAAACGAGGATTAAAATAACATTGTTAATGTAAAAATATGTTAATGTAAAAAATGTCATTTTATTCTTCGTTTAATAATATTCAAATTCCGTTTAACACAACGGTGGAATCGGCCCTAAAACAATTATGTTTTGCAAAGTATTTTTAATTTCTTATCATAACACATTTACGAATATAAATATCAAAACATAAAAAAACAAGAAGCTATTATTTTTAAAATATATACACATGATATAATATATTTTATAATATATACAAAAAAATACAAATAAAATTAATTGCCTAATTCTGCAAGTGGTTGCCACTCCCAAAAAGTTGTATTTCTGATGAACTCTTTGGTTAAAAATAAATTATGGCATGTTGCCGTTTCTAATAAATTTTCTGTCAGCGGCACTGGTTTGCATTTGTGGTTTATATTCTAGTCCACCATTTCGGTGAATTCTCGACCGATTTCTATGACTTTGATCCTATTAGTCCTAGCATTAGTCCTATTTATGAAGAAATGTACTTTGTACTTTACTATCGAAAATGTACTAGAAATAGTACAAATGTATTAAAACGGCAACACTAATAGAAAGTATTATTTGTTTTTTGAATGATTCTGATAGCAAATTAAGTTTGAATAGTTTTATTTAAAACATAATACCTAATTATAACCAGAATATAGACAAAATATTGGCTAAAAATCATCGCTAATTACACGAATTAGGGCTGATTCCACCTTGTGTTAAACGAAGTTTAAATTACTAAACGAATATTAGAATGACATTTTTAATTAATAATGTCATATTAATCCTAGTTTAGTAATTTAAACTTCGTTTAAAACAACGGTCGAATCTGGCATTAGGCATTCCAAACAAAATGGCTGCCCATAAGCATTAGCATGCATTTTTGGAGCAGCAAATTTTTGTACTAAAATATAACTTTTCTAAACCAATTTAATTTTATACATTGCAAGGACGATAGTAAGAGCAGTAGTCACTTCCACTTCAAGTTTAATTTAATTTTACTAGAGACATCTACTGGTTGTTATGAAATTGTGGTTCTTTCCTGCCGGCGATTTCTGCAATTTTGTTAAATAGTGGATGAAAAATGGCGATTTGCGATACTCGAACATTTTTAATTTTTAATAGTTTGACTTTTCACTAACAGATGTCAGTATGTACTCTATTTCTCTTGTGATTGCAATAAAGATAAAATACCAGGGAATGATTAGAAAGAAATCCTTCATCAACCAATATTTTACTGCACCGTAATTTTGGAATTTTAATTTCTCTTGAGATGTAGGTATAGTACGAGCAAGATATATACTGTGACTTTAAAGCTTTTAAGCCAGCTGACAACATACAAAAAAAAAACTAAGGAAACTTGATATTCTTCTTCTTTCAGCACAACAAAGGAATTCATGTATAGACATCTACAACCAAAGCACAGGGACGGATCTAATTAGTTGTACATTTTATGTTATGCTTTAATGTAAGATTATATTATATATTTCAATAAGTGGAAATGTTGTAATACCTAGTCCATTTAAAATAACGGTAAAAGTTCGAGAAACGCCGCACTTAACGACACCACTTGCAGGGCCGACTAGTGGGGGGGGGGGGGGGTTAGCCGGGACTTATTCTCAGGGCCCGGACTCAAATGGGGGCCCGGCAGCGGTATAAGGGGGGGCCCGGCAGCGGTATAAGGGGGGCCCGGCAACTGTTTTTTTTTGTTTTGTTTTGTTTTGTTTTGTATAAGAAATTCGACACAAGACGAGAGGGGGAAGTTTTAAGTTGGGGACTTTTTTTTAGAAAATTGAATCCAAGTAGAGGAGGAAAAGTTTTTGTTTGAAGAGCTGTTTTTTTTGTCACGGGGCCCGATCTAGAGAATTGTCCTGGGGCCCGGCTTGGCTCTTGGCGGCCCTGACCCCTTATCCCCTACGTATTTTGGGGCCTGATTACGAAAATGAGGGTTAAAACTGGCAGCAATGGTTGGAACACCCCTAAAATTGCAAAAAAAACCCACCTAAATAGGGATGTTTTTCGACTGTACTTGTTGTTTTTCAAACTAAGCCATCTTATATGTTTTTTGGGGCGCTGATTACGAAAATCGGGGTTAAAACTTGCAGCAATGGTTGAGTCACCCCTAAATAGGGATGTTTTTCGACTGTACTTGTTGTTTTGCAAACTAACTCATCTCATATGTTTTTTTGGGGTGCTGATTTCGAAAATCGGGGTGTCGAGACTGGAAAATTTGTGTGACACCCCCCACATGCCAGAAACACCCCTCCCAAGAGGTGAATTTTCGGAAAAAATGACCAGTCACGGTGTTTCACGAACTAAGTAATCTTATATGTTTTTTTGAGTCTCTGTCCAGCACACTCCAAATTAATTTTAATTTTTGAACAAAAAGTATCAAGATCTTTCTGACACTTGTATTTTTTTAGTCTTTGTTTAAAGTGAACTTCCGAAAACAAGAGTTACCCGAAAAAAATCAATATTCCTATGAATCAAAACTCCTGTTCAGTTTAAATATGCCGCGTTGGAAACACCAGGGGACTCCAGAGGTCGTGTGAATACAAGGTCGTGGATTCAGGTTTTCTCTCTATACTTACATCTATATTTCGTATATTCTAGCATCAATGTTTGCTTCCTACTTCCCGCTCGTTCTGCTCTTGTACAATTTCGACGCAATTTATTAATTTTTCATCCAATTTTAGGGGTGGTTTAACCATTGCTGCAAGTTTTAACCCCCATTTTCGTAATCAGCGACCCAAAAAACATATGAGATGAGTTAGTTTGCAAAACAACAAGTACAGTCGAAAAACACCCCTATTTAGGGTGTTTTTTGCAATTTTAGGGGTGGTTCAACCATTGCTGCAAGTTTTAACCTCAATTTTCTTGTAATCAGCGCCCCGAAAACATATAAGATGGCTTAGTTTGAAAAACAACGAGTACAATCGAAAAACACCCCTATTTAAGGGTGTTTTTTGCAATTTTAAGGGTGTTTCAACCATTGCTGCCAGTTTTAACCCTCATTTTCGTAATCAGCGCCCCAAAATACGTAGGGGACAAGTGGTCTCGTCAAGTGCGGCGTTTCTCGACCTTTTACCGTTATTTGAAATGGACTAATACAGTAAACGCCAAATCTAAAGAACGAAGGACGCGCATTTATAATGCTACGAACACGCCTACCGATGAATAGAATTGGTAGCTTACCTAGAAAGTTGTAAACCAGGGGCGCGTATATTTTAAGACATAAAATAAATGGAAAGTAGTGAATGATACTTGTTTATACATATTGATTAGTGTTATTATTAGTACATAATTCTATAGTCAATTAAAAAATCATTATTTTTAAGTAAGCCGACTTTGGGTTAAGGCTGTTCTACCGCTTTACGTTCGGTATTTATATAAAATTCTGTTAGCTTGTGGTAAAATTATATATTGGTCAAACGGGCCGTACTTTCAAAAAAAAGCTATTTAAAACATTACAATAGTTATACTAAAAACAAAAATAATTCTACAAAACATATTTTCATCTGAAAATCAATCGTTTATGCAAAAATTGTTTCACATTTTGAGAATAAAGGCATTAAATTAAACCATTTAGAAACACTTGAAATAAATTGATTTAAAAATTCAAATATCCTCTTAA